CCCCCCCCCCCCCCCCTCACCTTCTTATATCGAGTTTCCTTTGATCTATCCAGAAAAAAAATATGTAGTGAAAGTTGCTGTTGGATGCCGGTCTTTTTGTCCTGTAATTAAGCAGGAGGAACTTGTTTATTTTGGTGATGCAATGCTGTGTCATTTCGTGTGAGATTATCACACTGTTGTATTGTTGAAGTATTTGTTAGACTTATCTCCTCCAACTTTTAAGATTTGACTATTCTTGGGCTCTTAATCTCATTATGCATTGAACATGCAGTAGGTGCAAAATATTTGTATCCAGAAATCCTTAAAGAAGAGGCGGTGGAGAGACTTATTGAGCTTGGCAAGGTATATAATTGAATGTTATCGTTATGTAACTAAAGTTGAACGTGAATTCTCACTGACTGGCAAAACTTAATGGGTGACAAATTAAATCAGAACTTTTCTAATTTTTGCTGTTTTACTAACCAAGATTTCCGAATTTTTTTAAGGCTTGAGCGCGCTCTTCTTCCTCTCTCAATTGTTTGGCCTTCAAAATTAGTTTTGCTCTTTTCTTTTTGATTGCTGCAGCATACATAATACTGCAAGAATAATTTTTGGGCAAGTTACATTACCAGAAGTGGAATATGACCATTGAATGTATAATCTGTCTAGATAATTTAACTTTTTCACCTGAAACTTACTGATGAAATTTTGCGGTAAAATATACCTTGTACTTGAGTGCATAGAGAAGAAAAACTGAAAGGATTGATTAAAGGATAAAAATTATCTTCGATGTATTGTGTGTTGGTCCAAGAGAATGGTCTTATTATCTCCATGTAACTAAAAAACACCAGCAATGCTGTTTTTTGTTTCTATGAGTTTCAGAGAATTTCAGTACATGATCCTTGTGGATAATTTCTTCGGCTTTCTAGTCATTGATTAAGCCAAGTTATTATTGCGTAACACATATTATGCTAACTAAGTACGATCATTTGTAATCTTATTTCAGTTTATATTGACTTCACAGGTAAGTGATGCACATGAATTTCTCGAGAGAACTTTCCAAAGTCCAGCTTCTGTCAGAGCAGGAGACTTTATTCGAGAGTTGATGGATGATGTTGGTTTGAGAACGTGAGCTGTCAAATTTACTTCTTTTCTTTAACAATATTCGAGAAACTCTGCTGATGTTGCCTCCTTTTTCAGGTGGGTAGACCAAATGGGCAACGTGCATGGTAGAATTAAAGGGATGAATCCAAGTGAGAAGGCTTTGTTAATTGGCTCTCATTTGGTGAAGCAATTACAATACTTGTGTTTCTACCGTAAAAATATTCTAATTTCTAGTATGACCTACTTAGATCAGGCAGACTGAAATTAACAGCCCTTTGTTTCAAACAGGACACTGTTATCGATGCTGGAATGTATGATGGTGCACTGGGAATCATTACTGCGATATCTGCATTGAAGGTGTTGAATAGCACTGGAAGACTTGGAGGACTCAGGCGGCCAGTTGAGGTAACCATGCAGACTAACTGTATCAAATGCATTCATTACCTCCATAAATGTTGGTCGAGTGGCATTTTGAGATGTTGTGTTGACCTTTTGTGTCCTGACATGGATGTGTCTGACAATAAAACCCAATATATTGGACTTCTACATGTCCTAGAAGCACATATGTTAGAGTTCGGCAACTCGTCATGGATGGACTTCCGTGGGAGTCCTATGTAGAAGCCTAGTTTGAAGAAGCTATATTTGGCAGCTTGTCTATTCCACCTCTTGTGGAATTGAGGGAGCAAAAACAAAGCACTTGGAGAAATATTAGTTCCCCAAGCATCTGGCGTCTGATACACCTATAAAATGCGCTAATAAGACAGACTTTTCATATAAGTTGTGCTGAACACACTGGTGGTTCTTTTACCTAACAATCTAATCTACGTGATGACAATATATCTTTTAGCAAGTTGGCTGGAATAATGTTAAAGCTTTCATTAATACTATAAGACCATGTTACTTGGATTTGTCTGCAGGTTTGGCGGGGAGAAAGTGGCAAAACATCCATAAAACCTCTAAATTTAGGATATGTGGACCCAGATGAATATTATTATTATTATCTTAAACCTCTCTCTCTCTCTCTCTGTTAAAAATGTCATGTGTAATGAAAATTGTTAAGAATGGGGATTCAAGTTTATCTTTTACAGAATAAGGACACAGAAATCTTCTTTCTTGCTACAGGTGCAACAACCCTTTTTCTAGGGTACTATGTAATTCAAATTAAAGCACCTAGTTTTCCAGATGAAAGGGAACTTGCTATCTTGGCCATCTCTTTGTAGAGCTACGTATCTTGATTCTCTGCTTTCATATTTTTTCAGGTTATTGCATTTAGTGACGAGGAAGGAGTTAGATTTCAATCTACTTTCTTAGGAAGCGCAGAGATTTCTGGCGCGTTATCTGTTTCGACATTGCATGTGCAGGATAAGAGGTTCGTATTAGTAATTCAAGAAATTACATTCACTTTTAAACTGATGGTCCTCTCTGCCCATTGATAAATGGAAATTATTCAGTGGTGTCACAGTGCAAGATGCTTTGAAAATAAACTCCATTGATGCTACAGAGGAAAACCTTTTGCAGCTCAAATATGATCCTAAATCTGTCTGGGGTTATATTGAGGTATGCCAGCATTTTCCTACCCAGAAAACTGCAGCTGAAGGCAAGAACTCGAGATAAATATGTTACTACGGATTCTTGTCCTAAATTTATTTTTGATGCAATGTAGGTTCACATTGAACAGGGACCTGTACTAGAAACTGCAGGTTTTCCTCTTGGTGTGGTAAACGGAATTGCAGGGCAGACACGGCTAAGGTTAACTAAGCATTTATATCATATAGTTCAGAAATATATTTGCACGCTTTTACATGCAGACTAGTAATATAATGCTGAGGCCATATTTTCAATTGTTGATTTTTCCCCCTGGTGGCTAGTAGGATAATTCTTATTTTGTAATATTGAAAATGAAGTATGCCATTTCTTTAGTTGCTTTGGACACCACCTTGTAATTATATATTTCTTTGACTTCAATTGGTAAATATTGCTTCCTATAATTTGCAGGTGATCGTAAAAGGTTCACAGGGGCATGCAGGAACAGTCCCCATGAAATTGCGTCAAGATCCAATGGCTGCTGCTGCAGAATTAATCGTGTTGTTGGAAAGTCTCTGTAAACAACCTGAGGATTATCTATCCTATGATGGTCAGTGCGCGGATTCTACTGTCCAATCTCTTGCAGGATCTCTTGTTTGTACTGTTGGAGAAATATCAACCTGGCCAAGTGCAAGTAATGTGATTCCCGGCCAGGCAAGTATTCAGTGTCTTGAAACTGCGTGTTTTCCTGCAACAGTCGGTGTTCACATGAGCACCAGATGAGGAATTTACTCAATTTTGCATTAAAAATGATTCATCTGCTTGCAGGTGACCTTTACCGACCTTTACCGTTGACATACGGGCAATGGATGACCTAGGACGAGAAGCTATTATTTATGAATTGTCTAACAAGATGTACCAAATATGTGAAAGGCGTTCGGTTTTTTGTCATATAGACCGTAAGGTGCGAGGTTTGGTCCCATTTTTTATGCATGTGCCAAAAAGTAATTTGTAGCTCATCTGAGTTTGGATAATTTCAGCATGACGCCAATGCAGTGATCTGCGATCAGGGACTGAGTTCAGAGCTAAAATCTGCTGCTTATGCTGCTCTGAAAAGATTAACAGGCGAGAATCTAGACAATGTGCCTATGTTCATGAATGGAGCTGGACATGATGCAATGGTCATGTCTCATCTAACTAAGGTCTGCCTTTTCTTAGTCTTTTACGTTATTATCGTATAAAATTGGTCAATTTCTATTTTTGTCCACATATTTAGGAAGACCCACAACTTTTACCTGCTTATTATTATTCACACGTTTCATAGACCAAAATCCTAGAATCTAATAAAAGCTTTTCCAAACATGCTCAACAATGAAGTGAGTGCACGAGGCTGCTGCTAGCATTCCTCTTATTAGCTTTAGATGTACACCTCACTTTATATATTGATGATTTGTAATTTTTGATAGGTTGCCATGTTATTTGTTCGTTGTCGCGGTGGTATTAGTCATTCCCCGGCCGAGCACGTGTCAGACGATGATATTTGGACAGCTGGTTTAGCAGTCCTAGCATTCTTGGAAACTCTCATATAAACTAGTTGCTGTGTTTTATGATCCTCAAAATATCAGCTTCTTATCTCATGAAAAATGTATATTCACCATGCCAAATTCATTGTCGATCTCTTAAGAGCTGTTTGGTATTTTGAATTACAAATTGGTTCAACTTGTTTACCCACTTGGCCAGCTTTTTTAAAAAAATAGCATGAACACAAAACTTGGTAAATAAGTTGCGTATACATATACAGTGAAGAAAAATATAGGTGTCACTCTCGTGGGACAATTAATGTAGCAATCAAACCATAACACGATTTATAACCACTCGTTAGTCTAACATATTTTGATTAGTCGTCATCTGAAAATAAAAGGAAAGAACCAAAAAAGTTCAATGATAATTTGGACTGGCGATGAAAAGTGTCCATTATTGTGATACTAGGAAACTCAAATCTATTTCTAAGGCTATCAAATTTGTAGATATCTATAAGTTGAAAAATAAATTGTCGAATGTGATATCATATATGGCGCAATTTTTTTAAAGAAAAAATATTACCATCACACTGACTAAGGAACTTTAAGCCCCTATTTGCTGGAAATTAAAATCAAGGTTTTAATTCAAGTAAAAGTGTACAATTAATTTTATCTACACATTTCATAGAATTCACAACATTTCAACCATATATTTCACCAACTTCTCCCGAGGGGCTAAATTTTAACAAATTGACTAACAATGAAAGTTGAGTTGATGACAATTGCCGTTGTTTGGTATGGCTTAAAATTTTAATAAAAATTTAAATCGAAGTCTCTAAATGAGATGTTAATGTTTAGAGTCCATTTGAGCCACATCGTTTGTAGAATGAGAATGAAAAATAGAGTCGTTATGGGCTCTACATAAAAGATAGAAATTCAAAAATAATGACTTGATGTGATAGATAACGGTCATATTTTTCACTTTAATCTAGTAAAAATGACGCGCAAACATGGCCTTAATTGGAATTTGATAGTAAGGAATAAACTTGCTTGAACAAAAAGAAATAAAGGCCTGTTCAAATAAATCCTTCTCTCCACACTTACCAACGCTCCCACCCACCAGATCCTGAATCAGGTACTCTCTCGCTTCCTGTATACGTGTTATTTTTCTTGATTCTCTCTAGTTCCTTGATAGCTACGATTTTTTGAACGTCATGTTTTTTCTTTTTTTCTTTTTCTTGTGAAATATTTTTAAATTTCAATTTAGGGAGCAGCAAACTGAAGTAATTAAATGATAGGAAGGTACAACGGATGTATGAGGGCGCTTGGAGTTTTTATTCTTTTTGAAGTCTGTCATGGTTTTAGGTGAAAAGTAATTTTTTTTTTTTTATCTTAATTTATGGTTGGAGTCCAAACGATGAGGATATTGATATTATACGCTGTTGATTTAGGTTGTTGTTTGAAAAATCTTTGCATTGTGTTTGGTGCCGTGGAATTGGGGTTCAAAAGAAAATGTTTCTACCCAGATCCTCCGCTCCAATTTGTTGCTG